TACCACAGGAATGAACACTGAAATTGGAAAGATACAGAAGCAAATACATGAGGCTTCTCAGGAGGACAGTGATACCCCTTTGAAGAAGAAGCTAGATGAGTTTGGTGGCAGGCTTACCACTGCAATTGGGCTAGTTTGTCTTATTGTTTGGGTTATTAACTACAAAAATTTCATTTCTTGGGATCTTGTGGATGGATGGCCCTCAAACATCCAATTTTCTTTCCGAAAGTGCACTTACTATTTCAAGATTGCTGTTGCTCTTGCTGTTGCTGCAATCCCGGAGGGTCTTCCTGCAGTTATCACAACTTGTTTAGCACTTGGTACAAGGAAAATGGCTCAAAAGAATGCAATTGTGAGAAAGCTTCCAAGCGTGGAAACTTTGGGATGTACTACTGTGATCTGTTCAGACAAAACTGGTACTTTGACAACAAATCAAATGGCTGTGACACAGTTCTTTACTTTGGGTGGGAAAACCAATGCTTCTAGAATCATTAGTGTTGAAGGGACCACTTATGATCCCAAAGATGGGGGAATTGTTGATTGGAGCTGCTATAACATGGATGCTAATTTGCTAGTCATGGCTGAAATATGTGCTGTTTGTAATGATGCTGGGATTTACTTTGATGGTCGCCTATTTAGAGCTACAGGTTTGCCTACTGAAGCTGCTCTCAAAGTTTTGGTTGAAAAGATGGGAGTTTCAGATGTGAAGGCAAGGAACAAAACTGGAGATAATGCACAACTTGGTGCAAACAACATGGTGGATAGCAACACAGTGAAGTTAGGTCAGCAAATGAACTTAACTTTATGGAAGATGAATGAACTCTCTACTGTACTAGGAATTACAAAGTGTACTATTTAATTCTTCTTGTACAGGTTGTTGTGAATGGTGGAATAAAAGATCCAAAAGGGTAGCTACATTGGAGTTTGATCGCATTCGGAAGTCAATGAGTGTTATTGTTCGTGAACCAAATGGACAAAATCGGCTTCTTGTCAAGGTGACTTGATCTGATGCTTTTAAAGAAACTATCTACAGTTGTTGGGTACAGGAAGTTGGATGCTTTAAATGCATATTCAAAATTGGATCTTATACAAACTATTTGTTATCATTTGAGAAAAAAAAAAGAAAAATGGTACTCATAGGACCTTTCAGGATTTTAGCATGTTGTTAACTTTCAGTAAAATTTACTAAAACAAGTAGAAATGGCACGGTAAACATAAGACGATTTAACTATATTTCCAAGTTGGGCTGAAAAGGGCAAAAAGGGGCTTGTGATGCCTAAGCCTGATTAATGAAGACAGTGACTTTCTTGTCTCTAGTGTCATACATTTTTCAAAGATCACTATTTTCTTTGTGTGATGTTGTGATTACTATTCTTTTATTCTTTAACTCACACCTTTCACAACATTATGGCTTTTGATTTGTGAATCACTAATTCTTAACTTGTGGGGTATGTGATGTGTGGATAGGTAAAAAGATCATCTTAGTTTTTACTTTATTGCTTTCATTTTGGCCATCATGTAAAATGTCTCCTTGAATTTTTACAGTTACCCACTTTTGGCTTCATTCTAAATGTAAATTGGGAGTTGTTTTGACATTCACTATTCATAAATTGTGACCTTTTTTATGCATGGTTTCATTTATTGCTGCTTTTTAAGTACTAAAGTAGTTGAATGACAGGGAGCTGTTGAGAGTTTACTCGAGCGTAGTTCACATGTTCAACTTGCTGATGGATCCCTGGTTCCAATAGATGATCAATGTAGGGAACTACTTCTTCAAAGACTCCAGGAGATGAGTTCAAAGGGATTGCGTTGTTTGGGCTTGGCATATAAGGATGAGTTGGGAGAATTTTCAGACTATTATGCAGACACTCATCCTGCCCACAAGAAATTGCTTGATCCAACACGCTACTCATCCATTGAAAGTAATCTAGTTTTTGTTGGTATTGTTGGCTTAAGAGTAAGTTTATGCCATTCCTTTTGCTTTACCTACCAATGAATCAATGATCACTCTTTTTCCATGCAACTTTTTGAGGAGATTCATTTAGTTCATAATAATTGTCTTGATCAGGACCCTCCTCGTGAGGAAGTTAATAAAGCAATTCAGGATTGTAAGGAAGCTGGTATAAGAGTTATGGTAATAACTGGTGATAACAAGTCAACAGCAGAGTCTATTTGTAGGGAAATCAAATTATTCTCTAAAGATGAGGATCTTACAGGACAAAGTTTGACTGGTAAGGAATTCATATCTCTTTCTCAATCAGACCAAGTTAAAATATTGTTGAGACCTGGAGGCAAGGTTTTCTCTAGAGCTGAGCCCAGACACAAGCAAGAAATTGTGAGACTTTTGAAGGAAATGGGGGAGATTGTTGCAATGACTGGAGATGGTGTGAATGATGCACCTGCACTTAAGCTTGCTGACATAGGGATTGCTATGGGCATAACTGGGACTGAGGTAACATGGCTTTTACTATGGTAGGGTGCAACTTTGTTTTATGTGAATGTCATATCATAACACTTTCATTTCTTTCTTCTTTTCTTCTCTTGTGGCATTGTATTTATGTCAGTGTTGTGATAAACTTTGGAAGTTGAGATGTATATTTCTAATTGTTAGAAACATCAATGTAAAGAGTGAAACGGGTATTGACTAAAAATGAGTTGAGATGTGTGTACTTGGACTTATAGCATTCTGATTGAAAGTTCATTTTTGGTTTGATTATTTCTAACCTTGTCTACTAAATGTTAAAGGTTGCAAAAGAAGCTTCAGATATGGTGCTTGCAGATGACAATTTTAGTACCATTGTTTCAGCAGTTGCTGAGGGTCGCTGTATTTATAATAACATGAAATCATTTGTCAGGTATATTATGTCTCTTCGTTTTTCATCTAGAATTTGATTGATTCACACTAGTCCTTCACATATACTCAATCTTCTTCAGGTACATGATATCATCAAATGTTGGGGAAGTAATATCCATATTCTTGACTGCTGCTCTGGGGATCCCAGAATGCATGATACCAGTGCAACTTTTGTGGGTGAATTTGGTTACTGATGGTCCACCTGCAACAGCTCTTGGTTTCAACCCTGCTGATGTTGATATCATGCAGAAGCCACCTCGCAAAAGTGATGATGCGCTTATAAATTCTTGGGTTCTTTTCCGTTATCTGGTAAGCTTTGCTCAAGTCCCTTCAATTTAATGCATAACTTTGGATGTCTTGCTCAAGTATCTCATAAATTCACGTAATAAAACCTATGTATAAAAGTTTTTATTAGAAATAGCAAGTTATCACAAAATTCAATGCATTAATAACATTAAATGCAACCATTTTTTAATAAAATACTTACTATTTTTTGATTACTTGATACTTATTATGTACCCTCAGAGACATGTTAAAAAAATCATAAATTCATTAATCTAATATAAACTTTGTATTGATCACATGATAACCAAACTAATGTTCATGGCAGGTAATTGGTTCCTATGTCGGACTTGCAACAGTAGGAATTTTTGTCTTGTGGTACACACAAGCATCTTTTCTTGGCATCAATCTTGTGAATGATGGTCACACAACTATAGAATTATCTCAGCTTCGCAACTGGGGGGAGTGTCACTCATGGTCTAATTTTACTGTTGCTCCATTTGCTATTGGAGGGGGTCGCTTGATCACATTTTCAAATCCTTGTGACTATTTTTCAGTTGGCAAAGTAAAGGCCATGACTCTCTCTCTCTCAGTCTTGGTGGCAATTGAGATGTTTAATTCGTTGAATGCCCTCTCAGAAGACAATAGCTTGAGGAAATTACCACCTTGGAGGAATCCTTGGCTTTTGGTAGCCATGTCAATATCACTAGGACTCCACTGCCTCATACTCTATGTGCCATTCCTAGCAGATGTGTTTGGTGTTGTTCCACTTAGTTTGAATGAGTGGTTTATGGTCTTTTTAGTATCAGCACCTGTTGTTCTTATTGATGAGATTCTGAAATTAATAGTAAGGAGTCAAAGGAGGTTGACTAAGGAGAAAGAAGCATGATTAAGTCTCAGGTTTATGGCCACTATACAAAGCAATACAAGAGGGTGATAGGATGATAAATGGGAGTATCAAGCAAAATTCTTTGATATAGTTTTTGTTTAACCTTTAGGATAAGTTCAGTTCATTAATTCGTGGTGAGAAATTTGTCATGTTTTATGATCATACAGTAAATATATTTTTACAAACATTTGTTCATATGCTCTCTCCCCTTTTTACGTTTGAGAAAAATCTAAATGCAATGTCTAAAGGGAAAAAAAAAGCTTTAACATAATACTTGCGAGTGACATATTGAGAAATCGGAAAAATACGTTTTTTTTTGTTAGGAAAATGTATGTTCAATTGAAACAAGGCCATCTATACTTTTTGAAAAAAATAAATAAAAAAATTCATGACAATTTTGCTCAATCCCCCGTCACTGCTACCAACCAAAAAGAAGTGACATTGGACTATTTATGACGTTGGTAGTAAAATCCAAATAATAACGTAGTTGAATAATTTTTTTTATCCATTTTGTTAACTTCAATTTTAAAGGTTTAGTGTATGTATTTAATAAAATATTTGGAAAAAAAACATCTATTATACTTCTGGGTCTCTAATACTTTGTATGCTTAAATTCAATTCTAATAATAAATTCTTCTTTTTTAAAAAAATACATCTACGTAATACTGTCTTCTTTTTAATAAAAATTCATTTTTATAAGCTTAAACTCAACTATCAGCCGAAGTAAATAAAACTCTTTTTTAAGATGATTATCTTCCAGAAAGAGGCAAAGGAATTACATTAGCGTTAAAGCCTTTCATAGAATATATTTCATGAAGCTTGGTGGGGGTTGTTAGTGTACAAACATGAATATTTTATTATTTTCCACTTGCACCCTTGAGTATCAAAAACTGATTATATACCGACACATTTGCTAGGCAATTGATGAAAAATTTCATGGTTGGAATTTTGGGATGTCCATTATTAATCGTACTCCTATGATTCGTTGCTCAAATCAAGATCCAAATGGCATTCAAACGCACTTCTATTAAGCTTTATCATTTCATAAACTCCATCAAGCAACGCAAAAATTTCTTTGCTTTCTGGATGTGATCTATCTTCCACAATGAACTTATGCAATTGACCACCCTCTTCAAGGAAACTATGTCCAGCAGCCTTAGCAATTTGGCTTCCCTTCATCACCTTCCTAAGCTTTGAAACTCTATCCCATTGACCAGCTGATGCATAAATGTTGGAAAGAATGACATAGTTTCCAGGATTCCAAGGCTCAAGTGCAAATAGACACTCAGCTGCTATCTCAGCCACCTCAACATTACCATGGAAGCTGCAAGCTCCCAACAAAGCCCCCCATATTACTGAGTCCGGTTTCATTGGCAAACTTTGTATGACATTATAAGCTTCTCTCAATTGCCCGGCTCGGCCTAGGAGATCAACCATGCAGCCATAGTGTTCTAGTTTGGGAACAATGTTGAAGGCTGTGGTCATTGACTTGAAGATATGCCTACCCTTTTCAACCATGCCTCCATGAGTGCATGCCAAGAGGAGCCCCACAAATGTCACATCATCAGGTGAAGATCCTTCTCCCTGCACCATCAATGACACAGAGACATCAATATTAGAATCCTTTAGAACTTATCAAAGGTTCAAAATCACTGATATCAATGAAAGGAAACCAATTAAAAACAAGGCTAGCCGTGCTTACCAGCATTTGTTCATAAAGCTCAAGGGCCTGTTCACATTGTCCATGGACAGCCAAACCCATGATCATTGAATTCCAAGAGCACAGGGTTCTCATGCTTCCAATCTCATCGAAAACTCGCCAAGCAAAATCAATCTTACCACACTTTGCATACATCTCCAATACAGCATTTCTCACATATAAATTCTTAAAAAACCCATTTTTCCTAGCATATGATTCAACCCTCTGCCCAATCTCAAGTGCCCCAAGATTTGCACAAGCCGGCAAAATGCTTGCCAAAGTTACTTGATTGGGCATTATGTTTTTCTCCTGCTCCATCCTCAGAAACAACCCCAAAGCCTTCTCATACTGTTTATTCTGTGAGTAACCAGATATCATGGTGGTCCATGACACCACATTCCTAGAAGGCATCAACCTAAACAACCCCAATGCTCCCTCCATATCACCAAATCTTGCATACCCTGCCATCATAGCATTCCATGTGGGTACCCCTCTCACAGCCATTTCCTCAAACAGTTGGCGTGCCAGCTCCAAAGTACCCACTTTGGCATACATGTCAAGCAAAGCAGTGGCAGCAAAGAGATCAGGTTCAAAGCCTGATTTGATGAAATGGGTATGGAGTATTTGACCAATGGGAGGGGAAGAAAGGGAAGTGCATGCAGAGAAGAGGAAGTTGAAAGTGTGTTGATTTGGGGGGAGGCCATGAAGGCGCATTTGAGAGTAAAGCGAGAAGCATTGGTACTGGGAATGGAAGGTGTAGGCTTGAATGAGCTTGTTGTAGAGAAAAACGGTTGGCTTTGGAGAATGCTGCAACACCATGTGTGCATAGTGTAGGTTTGGGATTTCAAGTAGCTTCTCTATTAGGATTTTGGTGTGGTCTATGCCATTTCTCAGAGTGTAACCATGGATTTGCTTCACTTGCTTCATCACATCGCAATAGCCTTTTTAGAGTTTGGGTTCCTCAAAAGTTGGAAAATCGAAGTTGTTGTCTCGGATAATAATGTCATCTCTTAGTACAAAACAAAGCCACGTACAACGTTTTCGCGCGTTTGCTGGTTTACAAAAAAGGAATTAACTGGTTCGAAAACCCATAATTTAATTGTTTTATTGGATCATAATGACAAGAGTGGTGTTTGGCTATATATATATATATATGTGTGTGTAAAAATTAATATAATATTCATTCATAATAAACGTAAAAAAGAGTATTAAAATCGATTATGAAAAAATTCATATTACTATTGATCATGAAATCTTGTGTATAAAAAATTAATATAATATTTTAACCTCGTAAGGAATTACTACGAAATAATTTGGACAAATTCATTCATGCATGTATAAATATAATTGTGCAGTTATAGTAAAGTCACATCATACTAGAACAAATGATTGCCATGCTCCTTGTCAAATACCTCGTAACCTTTTTCACCATATAAGAAATGGGTTCAAATAGCAAATAATACAAATATTCGAGAAAGGGATTTTTTTTATTTTCCTCTTACACTAAACCATAACAACAATCAATTTTCAAATGAATGTACAAGCAATTTGAGACGTTTAATATAGGCCTCAAATAAATCCACGCATGTCCAAACGGTGCTGCTGTATTGATACACTTAACAGCTCAAACTTAACACAGGTCACAATGGTTCAGGAGCCTAAATGATACCCCAAGAGAACTAGCTAAGGGCAAAGCTTTTCGGTCAAATGGTTAAAAGATTAAGGAACATCATGTGGGGTTCTCCTGGTTGGTGAGACAACATTATGTTAATGTGCACTGAGGAAAGCAGTTATCTCGGTTAAAGAAGCAAAGGTTCCATTTCCTGCCCAAGCACGTAGTTGATGTCATGCATAGTGAATGCATCAAGGGAAGGTTATTCCACATGGTTAGTTCCTTAGTACATGAACAAATATTTTTCTTTAGAAATATGAAGATTGATCATGAAGCACGTTCAAATGTGCCAATATTCTAGCTGACATGGATCTCACATTACCATCACCCCTTTGAGTTAAGTCCACTAGAGACATTTGAGCTAAGCCGCCATACATCTGTTTGAACTCGAGTAGCCGAAAAATCCTTTCCAAAGCATCTAGAGACTTCTCCTGCAACCTAGGAGAGGGAGAACCAAGAAACCTTATTATTAATGGTATGGCATTTGCTTCTGCAAGCACTTTACTACCACTCTGGAGTCTTTCATCTTCAATTAATGTTAATAGAGCATCCAAAGAAGCCTCACAAACTCCAGGATCAGATTCCCCAAGAGTTCTTGTAAGTGGTCCTACTGCATTAGCCTCTAAAAGGCAAAATGATGATTTCACAGAACATATTCCTCCATGAACTATGCAGCCAATATCAGCTGGTGCTGAGAAACACCATAGTCCTTTGCGCTTGGCTACTGGTTTGCTCAGACTCACTGAACTTTTAGAAAATTGAGTAAGAGACTGTGCCACGTGTTGTTTTGTCAAGGTAGTTCCATTTTCAAGCAACTGCACTAAAATAGTTATAATCCCAGTTTCAGCTACACTTTTTTGCCATTCCAAGTTTGTTGGAACTGTGAAACGGCGTAGGGCACCAATGGCATTCTCTACAAACTTATCCTTTTGAAGATCTCTGTCTTTCCCATCTTGGACATAACTTTTAATGATTGGCAGTGTGCCTGCATCCAGAAGCCATTGAGTTATCTGGTGATTTTCTGGAAGATAGCATATTATTCCCATAGCAGAAAGCTTTTCCTCCTCATCAGATGAATATTTCAGGATTTGGAGTAAATTATTGATGCAGTTCTGATCCACATTCCCCCGTATGATTGCCTCATCACAACTCTCTACCAAGCAAGAAAACAACTTTACAGCACTTGCTCGTAGTTTTAGCCTCTCATTCTCAAACAGTCGAACCAGTTCCGGAACAGCTGAGCACTGCTCATACATAAGTAGACTAATTTAATTATGGTATATTGCCATGCAACAAAAACAGAAAAATAGTTTCAAGATTTTAGATAAGGACAAGTGAATGAGTGACTGAACCGTAGTGAGTGAACTTAATGCTAAACACTGGAAATTTTGATCCTCAGTGTAAAATATATCAGAACAGGCCTAAGGTATAATTTTTTCATTTTATTGGTACAAGGCACATAACTACATAACCTATAAGGTTTAAGGACAATGGATAAGCAAATCATGCATTGCTATCACCAAATAAGACAGACAGAGATAGAAGATCAATAGCATCAGCAATACTAGGTATAAAAGAAAAGTTAACCATAGAGTCATCAAGGAAAGCACCACAATATAAACAGTAAACATGAATTCCACTTCTAAATATATGAAACTTCTACAATAGCATGTACTAGAAAATTAGTCCAAACACCCTCCAGACACCTTATTAGAAACTAAAAGAATTCTCAGAAAAGAAAAAAAAAAAACAATGACAAAAGCATACCAAGAGGGGGAGGGGGGATGAAAAATAATTTTACTGATAGTTGTTTTACTGCACTGTCTTTTGTTTCTGGATGAATGTTTTACTGCAAATTTTGTTAGATTGTTAACTGTTCAACTGTAGTCAAGAGTTAAACCTTATAATTTCACCACTCTGGGCAATACCAGTTTCAGAAGATTTGCAAGTTATGACACCATCAATTATCAAACATCAGTCATATATTAAAATTAAAGGAATAAAGATTCAGGAAAATAAAGAAATATGAGAACAAGTTTGTTTCTATCATTATCAAGGGCTGAATGTATTAAATTTCTAAACTTAATAGAGTGCTTGAAATTGCAAAACAACAATCAAAGCAATTGCTTCCTGGATCCTTGTCTGATTAAACATAAAATGTTTATATAGCTAGAATCTAGCCAGTTCTGCCTTTGCTCTTTAGTTAATAGAAAGTTGACCTAGATGCATGATGTCTAGTAATCAGCAATTTCGCTCTCTGGCAATCTTAAACTGGGAGGAATTTCATTTGACAGAAGGACTTGGTCTATTGATTGTATCAAGTCTTTGTTATTTGCCAATTGGAAGATATTTTCAAATTCTGTCTTAAAACATGATTAGTAAGATAGAAACTTAAACAGTAAGATGGATCTCTTAGAGCTTAAATGGTTTTTGCCTAGTTTCTCTAGATGTGCTTGCAGCATTCACCATGTTGAGAGAGTGATTTGCCTATTCAGTGCACTAATGATTCAGCAGAAAACATTTTTAGCTGTTGTAAGTAGACTTCAGCTTCTGTAAGACTCATACCTCTTTTAGTTTGGTTCTGATATATGAAGCTGAAAAAGGTGACTGACACAGGGCATAAAATGTCTGAATAATGTTTTGCTGCACACCCGGCTGTGAGACACTAACTAAAGAGAAGAGATTAAAAACATCATCATCAGATTCTAGTAATAAAACAGGTCTTTGAGCATCTTGAGAGATAGTTGATGCAGCAAGTTGCACAACTATGGCTGCTACATCTTCCCATAAACAAGAGGTTTGTATGCTGCGATGGAAAAGGAGGTTAAGTAGCCGTCGTGCAGCCCCCTGTCTAATCATTTCCTGTCCATTTTTCTTTGAACTGGATAAATTCCTAAGAGCTTTAATAGCCACTATTTTCACCTGAAGATCATTGTGTGAGAACATGTGAAGAAGAGGAATCAGTACACCACCGTCAAATAAGGATTCCTTATTGTGGTCAGTTAACTCCATTTCTGCTAAATTTGTGGCCATAATCATCTTTACATCATCTGGTCCTGCATAGAGGGAGAGAGAGAGACAGGTTATGGTAAAGGCTTATTCTCACACCATCACTTTTGTCTCTTTGTAGCCAATATTCAGATTGATGCATTGAAGTAGTGTCCCAAACTGAAATTTGTTCAGTTCTTGAAACTAAATAACAAAAACATAACCTTATTGTACTACTAGTTGCACAAGATAAAGCTTATTTTTTATTCCAAGCTTTTATATTTCATGCATATCTTTTAACAGATTAAAGGGGTAAAAGAATTCGCCATTCAATGCTAATACACTGACTCAACTTATGTAGGTTAAAGATTAAACCTGAGGAGAGACGCTGCAATAAATGTTTGAAATAATTTGCTTTTGCCATCTGTATAACATTCTGATCAGAGTATGAAAGATTATCTAATAGCATTGTTGCATCTCTAGCAGCTTGATTGTCATCTCCGCTAGACATAGTTACCAATAGTAGTATGCAACCTTGAACCTTTCCAATGTGCTCTCGTGCTGAATCATACTCAGATAATTCAAGCAGCAATGCCACGGCTAACTTCCTTTCTTCTGGACGACGTCCAAGAGAATGGACAATAGATTCAATTGCATTGTCAACGGTTGCAATTCTTTCCTGCATAAAAGGACGGTCTTGAATGTCCATTATGAAATCAAATGTAGTTCAATATGATCTAAAGCAACATTTATTTGAATGTTTAATTATGTGACAAATATTGTAGATTTAGGGGTTTAAAAAGGAGATGCAATCATCCATCACACAGTAACATAAAATGAACAGTGTTTCTAACATGCTTGAGACCACACAATAAGAACCTATACATTGTAATTTTTTAATGAAAATTACAAGATCCAATACATTGATAACATTAAATACTATAATTTTCAATAAAAGCTTTCGATTTATTATTTTTTATTATGTACCCTTGAACACATCAAAACTAAAAAATGAAACAAGTTGAGAAAAAAACAAGGAGGAAAGATAGTTATAAGAGAAAGGACTAAGGAGTGCAACATGATCAAAATTCTAGATAAAATTGTGCTGAAAATTATATTTAATTCCTAAGCTCATTTTTTGGTAGTGTTTTCAAATGTCTAATAGAGGCATGGATGACAAAGGCCCTAACCAATCTGTCTTTGAATGTCAGATAGACTGCATCCTATTAATTATGAATATCTTCTCCAGATTCTTGTTTTGCCGTGTTTGGTTTCTAGCTTAAAGGGAAATTCGGTTATATGATGGTGTTATTAAAGCTAGAATCATTTTCAACAAAAATTTCCAGAATTCATTTATTTTATCTAAAACTATAGCTGTCATTGATCATTACATCTTTAGAAAGCCAAATATTGAATGTAGCAAAGATGCTATACTCCTTGTTAAAATATAAAAAGTGAAGTATCAATTTAAGTACCTTAGCTTCTTCATTATCCTTTGCCAGCATGCCAAGGACGACAAGAGCATGGTTCCGTATATCACGGTTTCTTGAATCAAGAATTTGGATGAGAATTGGTATGTAATTCTCCAGTATCACCCATTCCCTGTGTTGGTCTCTTTGTATACACAAATCCTGAAGGGTTCTCAGACCATCCAGCATGTCATCATCATTCCCAGACTGGATTTTTTCTTTCACAGTAGCAATTTTAATCATTGTATTTCTATCCTTCCATTCTTCTATGGATTGTTTCAATGTTTTGTTAGGTCTCAAAATTGATGTGTCTAAAGGAATCAAGGTTAGGGGACACAATCTGTTTCCTTCTGCAAACCACTTCTCTATTGCAATTCTCTCAAAGGTCTGTCCTGATGAAGTTTCTACAGGATCCACCATAACATCCTGTGTGATGGGGCAATAAAATGATTGCAAAGGCTCCAAGAATCGACTACCCAACGATTGACGTTTTGCAAAGTATTTGAGTTCCCTTTCTCTTGGTGATGAAGCTGCATCAGCCCTTTGCAACAAAGCAATGATTTGATCCATTTGCATAGCTTCAGCTAATTCCTTCCTATCACGAGCATTCTCAATTTCATTTTTAAACTCTTGAAGCTCCATCTTTATTGTTGACTTCTCATTCTTAATCCCAACTGCCTCTGCAATGAGAATCAGCAAATCATTGGCATAGGAACGGTCAACATTATTTCCTCTTATCCCTGACTCAATTTTCTCTAAAATCTCTTCTTCAGCTACAGCTGCCTTAAACCCAGCTGTCTGCATATGATCACATAGCTTTTCAATTTCTTCAATCACTCCTGAAGAAAGACCTGATAAGGCTAAAGGTAGAAGACTAAGTGCTGTGCTCAGTTTCTTTGTGTGGTTTTCTAAGCTTTTAATAATGGACCTGCAACTAAATAGGAGATAAACCTTGCTCTTGTTCCTGCATTCTAGAGCCAGTTGCTTTGCACCTTTTATTTCTTTATTCATGGTCTCGATAGCTCGGTTGAATGCCTCAGAATCACTGATTTTTCCTTTCCTCAATTCTTTTAAGACAGGCTCAATTCTTTCCATGTAAGTTGCAAGTTCCTTAAAACTGTCCTTCTCCACAAGGACATCAGTAGCATAAACTAGGAACTCAGCAATGGTATCTATAGTTTGAGAAATGGCTGCTGCGGTAGGACCAGAAGTTAACACATCTAGAACCATCATCTTGCAACACAATTTAGGCAAGGAAATATGATCCTGTTTCTTTCCATGAAACAAGAACACACTCACTAACTAATGTTGCAAGAAGGATTGCAGAAATTTCCTGAGACTTCTCGTTCAGAAATGCCCCCATACCCATTTCAATTCAATTCCAAATGCCTAAATCTGATATCAATATAATAAAACAAAAGAATTCATCAGATTCATTTACCATTTATTTTTCTACACAAATAATAAACTATGAGTTCATAATCAAATTAGTCCCATAAAGATATAGAGTTGGTTAAATTAATTAGTTCTTGAATGAGGGAAATTTCACTCAATGTTCTTGAATGTGCATTTTCAGTTAGATTAGTCCCCACTTCACGAATCCTAGAAACTAATTTGACCAATGGAATACACTTTACTAATTTAACGATTAAAAGGCATATTAAGAGATCACAAATTTAATTTGGTTTGTGACGGTATTATGGATACGTAAATCACACTAAAATTTGAACAAATATTGACAATCTTTTGAGCTGATGAAAAATATGTCATATTTTGAAATTTGAATTTTCTTCAGCGCAAGCAAGGGGTACTTGGACCTGGCATCTTGCCTTGCTTATTGTTATAAGGAAGGAAAAAGAGAAAATTGAGGCTCAACGGCAAAAATGAATCAACAATCTAAAATTGATTTGGCTACATTCATACATACAGTCCAACTTCATCTTCTCCAATCCACAATATTCCACGACACCATCAAAATGCTTATGCCATTATGAATTTTGAAGAACTCAGTCCAACAAGCGAAAAGCTATAAAGTTGACTTGACTAATTGATACCCCTTCTTTTCCATGGACTTCATGGATGCCAAATAATGCCACTAGCTTTTCAGTTATCTTTCTCCACCAACATTTTCTCAGCTCCCAAGCAAAACAAACCAAATCCAGACCCCAAAAAAGCTAGTTCCCTTGCTCTATGGAACTGTATCCCCTCCCTCCCCACCTACCCTTTTTCCTAGGCAATAATATCAATCACAGAAAAGCATGGAATAACTTACTACCTACAGGTGAATCATGTATCATATAAAAAACTCAGGTTAAGGTAAAGGAGATGTCAAAAAAGCTTCTTCTTTTTTTGTGACCTCATTAACACATAATCTGATTTGCCTTCTATGGAAGCAAAAAGAGAAAAGTCAAAGTCAACAAATACCTGAGGGAACCATGAAAATTGAGAGACCCCGTTTGCCCGTTTGAGCAAAGGAAAGTAAAATTCCCAGAGAAACTAGATCCTAGCACACAGGCTGAGATTGTATATGTTTTCTCTAGTATCCAAGTCTAGAGGACTTTTCCATCCCTGTCTTTGACCTGCTACAAGGAAAAGCTTATTAGATGCACTAGTTTTACTATGTTATGTACGTGTATAAATAGTTAAATATCAACAAATAGATGTAATTATATGCAGCGTATAATATGGTTTATGAAAAAAAATTGGACAAATCATGAACCTTCGAAACATTATCCGATGGATATAATAATATAATATAAAAATCAGTATTTCGTGAAAATTGCAAACTAGTTCCCTTTTAAATTATGTTTGCTGTATTTGCAAAAATACCCTTGATTGAGGCTCTCTGTGAAAAATTTGGAAGTGCTGAGATCCTACTTTGTTAAAAGAATATTGCTTGCATGTTCAGTGTCTCCATCCATGTCTTTCTTTGAAGGCTTTTTTACCATGTTTGACGTAAATTTTGAAATTATTTTTTAAAAGAATTTAAAAATAAATAATTTAATTGTATATGTTTTTTTTTTTATTTGATGGATTTTTTAATGCATAAATTTTGCATGTGCCAGAAAGAAATCTTGTAAGAATAAAATTAAAGCTAGTTTCATCTGTTCTATGTGATGATCATGCAACAAGTTTTGTCTATTCCTATGCATGGGTAATTAAAAGATGCATCTAAATGAAGAATGAGCAAACAAATAAAAGACTTAATTGTTTTTCTTTAAGTTAGGTTTCTGTGCGATTTAGTTTTTTTAGCTAATTAAGATTATTTATTTAAAAAGTTGTGTGAAATTATTTCCTTTCTTAATTTTATTATACTTAAGAGCTTCAAATCATTGAATTTATCAAAATATTTGAAGAGTTTATAATGAAATTATTATATGAAAAAATATTTAAAAAATAAAAGATTAATACTTTTTTTATAAGATTGAATATTTTATTAAGACATGAGATTAGTCTTGTAACAAGGGAAATATTGATTTTTTTATATATATTTTGACCAAAATTTAATGTTTAAATTAGTGTGTTTTAAAGAAAAGAAAGCTTAAAACAATTTGACTGTTTTAATTTAGTATAATTTTGAGTTAAAAAAATTGAGTGTTTTAAGTAAAAAAAGTGATAAAAGAATTAAATTTACACAATTTTAAAAATAAAGAAGCTTAATTAGCTTGAAAAACAGAAAAATTTAAGTCGCATGTATACTAAACCAAAGAGACAAAATAATAAAATTAAATATAAATAAAATATTAGTCTTTAACTTTTAAAATAAATTAATTAAAATTCAAAATGAAGATAATTATTCATTTTAAATTTGGAAAAGCAAGTTAGCTAGGTTGAATAGGTGTGTTGTTAAACGATGATTATTTTATATATTTTTTTATATCAATTATTAAAATTATTTCATACTAAAATCAAAATAGCATTTATTAAAACAAACAGTTTTGGGATATTCACTAGTTTTTTTTTAATTTACTAGCAATATTGATATATTGCTGAATTAAACAGTAATATATTAAAATTACCAAAATCTAAAAAAATGAATCACAAATTAATCCCTAGAAAAAAGTCCGCCAAAAATGACATGTTAATATGAAGATGCTGGTCACCAGGGATAAAGATATCAACGTTGGTCTGATAGGTGGATGCCTAAGTTTAACGAGAAAAATAAAACTCATTAATTGTATTGAAAATAGAAAAATATATAAAATATTTTTTGATAAAAATTTATTATTTTTAGTTGTTTAAAAATTAAAATTAAAATTTAATGTTAACAAAATTGATAATAAAACAATATTTTTTTTCGTGTTATTAACTCTTGATGATTCTCAGTAGTTTGAACACGACATAGGCTTTGAGTTCTAACCCATGTTCGGATCCTCCACGAAAGAGTGGTGTCAAAGAGGATTTTTTGACCAATTCTGTACAAATTTTGAAATTATTGATAAAAAATGTGAAATACATAAATTATTACTTTAAAGTGATTTTTACAACATGACAAAATATCTTATTATTTTATATTTTTCGACACAAATTTTGCATAAGTCAGAAGCACAATTCGTAAAATAAAAAAAACGAGAACTAAAACAAGTTTGGTCTATCCCCAAATGAAACTTGGTACTGTTTAGGCAATTTTATATGTGAATAATAAATTTATATAATATTTATTAAACGAAAAGGTCTACAGAAAGTTTCGGCTGCCCTTTATATGAAAGACATTTAAAAAAAATAATAATAAAACAAGTTTTGTTTGGGAAGAATACAAGACTTGTTTGGCGAATTAAACTCTTAATTACTTTGATTATTTAATATTTTTAACAAATATCATATATGTATTCAACACAGCGTCAGGTGTAAAACATAATAACTCATTCTTGAGACCAATAAGACTTATATAAAAAAGAGAAATTTTTTCCAACTTCCAAAGTTCAAACAAAAGTTTGATTTAAAGCTAAAATGCGACACTGCATATTTATCAACTTGACCACATACGCATATAATAATATACTGCAACATTTGTTTGTGGGACCTTTTTTTTTAGAACATTTTACATTAATTTAAAATAAAGTAAAATATTTTTGTAAAACTTGAGCAAATTTTTTTATAAACTAATTTTTAAAATGAAATTAAATTATTTAATATAGTATAAAGTTTTATTCAATTTAAATATTTGACTTGTAAGACGAAACGTGAGCCACTTATCGGCAATGTTTCTAATATTCTTTCTCCATTGACGACGTCACTTGCGTAGTAAATTAGGGCTCTTTGCTTTTTGATTGTACGAGAAATGAGAATGCAGCAACTCATTTGTCATTCACTATTTGCATGTTTATGTATACGAGTAGGGATCGATCTATATTCGCATGAGTTAAAGATATATTATTTAGTAGCTTTAAAAATAAATTTACTGTTAATGTAATTATTTTAATAAGATAAATTATATTTATATACTTTTAATATGATTATTATTATATTAATTTATATAATATATTTTTTAAAATATATAAAAATAAAAATAATTTACTATTTTTCATAAATTAACGTTTATAAACGTTGAAACAAATAATTATAATGAAATACTTAAATCAATAACATATATTTTATATAAACTTATTAATAGTGTAAAAGTGAGTATATCTTATTGATTTAAAATTAAATAAAATTATTTTTTGAAGTATCGAGTATGATTGAGATGCATGCATATATTATTTTGAATTATATATTTTTATTAAAATGTGTGTTTTGCATCGAAAAATATAAAAAAAATGGATAAATAAATTTATTTTTACCAAAAAGTGCACAAATTAGTTATCAACTAATGTGAAATGAATTTAATTTAACTTGAGTTTGAGTTATAAGAAATGTAGTTTGTATCTGTGAATAATAATTTCATTTTCTTGTGAAGGATACATTTGATTTAGACTAAAAAAAAAAAATTCTGTTTTCAAATTTTTTAGTACATTAAAAAACACTTTGACTATTAATTCTTGTTATCAATAAACAATAAATATATAAATAAATCTATAAAATATTAAATTATTTATAAAAAGTAATTATATTTACTACTGTTGATTTATCGCCCAAATATCATGCAATTTAAATTTTAAACATTATTAGTTTTTTAGGTACTTTTTTCATATTTTTAACCAAATTTTTAAATATGTGCTTGACTACTTACTAATTCAAATTAATCCAATGCATTTTTTTTTATGAAAACCGTATTTATAAAGCAAATAGTGTTTTATTTTTATGTATTAATTTTTTAAAATATAAATAAAAATATTAATATTTTTATTTATCCTAAATCATATTTTAATAAATGGATTATTATAAATTACTGTAAAAACTAAAAAGTATATTAGTTTGGTATTTTAAAAATTAATTATATATAAATTTGAGTATTAAAAAGTTTATGATATCAAATGATATTAAATAAACTGATTTTAAGCTACAAATTAAAATATATTTTTTTAATATTTTTCAATGTCCGAAGGATTTAATATCATAAATGTTTAGAAGACTAAATTAATATTAAATATAATTCTTTGAAGGACAAGAAGAGTTGAAGTACTAAATTTATAAAAGAACTTTTGCATATCATATTTTTATATTACATTAATATTAATGTATAATAATTGATTGAAAAAATAATTATATTTACTTGCCCTCAGAAAATAATTGACTCATAATATATGGTCAATATTCAGTAAAAAAAAATTGGATTTAATATTAATTTTATAAGTTATTCTCGTAAAAACGTAGAGTATGAGGATAAATAATTTTTTTATTATTTTCTATTTATAAATTTTAATTAAATATTAAGAACATACTATTAAAATAAAATCTTTCCTTATGATGTTGAGATTTTGAAAATGTATATTTTTAATTTTCTGTTTAACATATATAATAAGAATTTAATATTTTTTTAAAAATCATTATATTTTTTGTAGTCATGTTTCTAAAAAATTAAAAAATTATTATAAAAATATAAAATATAAGTTAGAAAAATTAGATTATAAAAGATCAAATAATATATAAATGAAACAAATGAAAATTCAATAAAATGTAAATAAATTAATATATTTAAAAATTATAAAATGTTAAAAAATTGTCATCTAACACTAGTGAAAATTTTGGTATTACTTGTAGATAGATAAATTGGTTAGATTTGAATTAACTTATAATTTAAAAAAAGTCAAATTAATCAATTGATTGAAAAGAAGAACATATTGAATTTTGAAGAAATCAAGACGTACAACCTTTTGCAATTAGGATGTGCTTGAAAATAATACTTAATTAAGTCATTATTTATAATTTTTTAAAATAATAACTTATATAATAAAATTATTAAAATAAATAAATTATAAAGTATTATCTATAAACTATTCATAACCTCATATACGGTTTATAAACTCTAATAACTATATGATAATAAAAGTATAGAAGAGGAAATAAAATTCTAAAATCATAAATAAATAAATAAATAAAACGCGCACTTTGAAGTGGCTGATGGCGATGCATGGCTATGTGAGTTCCAAGTCCTCCCTTGTGTTGCTGTCTCTGACAGCTCATCCACGTTGCCTTCTCTATTTCATAACTCTGCAACCAGTTCTGCCATTAATGATCAATTAGTGTACCTCAATGCC